TTCAGTTGTGCCTCAGATGATGTGTGTGTGAGTATCTCAAAATCAGAATTTGTGTGTGTAGGCAGGTGCAACACACTATTTAAGGCCTCATCAGCAACAGACAACCTAGCCCCCTTACTTTAGTCATGCATGTGATGCTAGCAGCTATTTCAGCATATAATTCTCTCACTAATGTCAAGTTGTAAGAGTGTTGTACTTGATAGAAGGTGTGCCAACCAAGAGAATCAATTACCTCTTTGATGAAGGGGAATTCAACAATGCTCCTTTGATCAAAACCTTTGTTGTGCAGGGTTGTTTTGGTTTTGAATTTGCTAAACCTGGCATTGGCTTTTGCATAACTGAATCCTTCATGAGGCAACAAGGACCTAGCAGCTTTGGATGGAGTGGATGAAGTAGCAGCAGGATGCTGCAAGAGGCTGTGTGTTCCTTGGTGGTCTTCTAGGTGAAACCTCTTTGGCCATAGATTTTTCTTTAGCAGGGGGAATGTGCTTTTTCTTCTTCTTCAAGGCAGGTGAGTGTGTGGACTTCCTTGTCGATTTCTTGCCGAAAGCCTTCCTCTTTTTAGAGGGTTGTGCCGTAGGTTGTGAAACAGGGGCTTCCAAGGCTTCAACAGCCTCAAGCAAGGTATCCATGGAGGTCTGATCCTTATTCTTATCTCTTGAAAAATCTACCCACATTTTGGCAAAAATATTATCTATGACCTCAAAATCATTGTTTTGAGGGTTGGCTTCTACTAGTTCTTCAAGAGGGGTAGATGTGGAACCAAAATCCCAAGGAAGTAGGTAGAGTTTATCTAGGTCCATTAACTTAGTTGCATCATATTCAGAATCAGAGGAGACATAATCCTATACTAACACAGTAGGATTGAAGATTACCTCAACATTGTGTTCTTGGTCGAATGAGCCTTCATCAACCGGTGGTTCATTCAAATCATCGATTTGAACCCTTCTCTTGACAAGTTTTGGAACAGAGGTGCGAGCAGAAGGTGAAGGGTATACACTTTATGGTTGACTCGGTCCTTCTTCTTCGACTCTTGGTGGTGAAGGACTATCATCACCGACATCAACCATCTCTTGTTCATGATTTCTTTGAGTGTTCACAGCAGCCCTCCTACGATTGCTTCTTCGAACAGTAGGGTTTTCCGGCGGCAGGTTTCTGATCGCCGGTCGCTTAACACATGCCATTGGTGGTGAAATGCATAATGTGAGATGGAGAAGAAGACAGAGAAAACTTTAAGTTAATAAGAGGAGGTCAGTATGAGCGATGATGGTGAGGACGATGGGGGGGAATAGGGGCGATTGAAAGGGTGGTAAAGTTTTAGGGAAGATAAATGGTAAGTTAATGAGGCGATTTTCTTGGGCAGTGGGATTGGGGGCGGTTATTATCCAAGAGTTAAGAAAAATTGGGATTTAACGGGTATTAACCAATAGTCATTAAGGAAATGGTTTAATGGGTTTTAACCAAATGACCGTCACTTTTTAAAAGTAATGAGTACCTTCATATGATTAAAAAGTTTGGAAAAATTGTACTCTTTGGTGATGTCAGCCTGAAACCTATGTACTTCCCCTTGGACTCATCCTTATCCTCATTTTTAAAATTGGCGCCCAAAAATCCTTCCTTTAAAATTGACAGCAAGGCAGGGAATGCTGCAACATTACAAGCTTTTCACAAATTTTCCACTGAAATCACAAAACAACTCTACAAACCATTAATCATAAATGCTCTAAATATTTAATAACTTATTTACAAACAGGGGTGGACTTTCAAGAAGTCCATGGAGTTTTGATGCTTTTAGCAAGGTGTAGCAAAGCTCTTAGAGCAATGTTCTGAGAGTGCTACCGGATCATGGTTTACCTTCATTCTTTGTCCATTTACCTTAAAGACAGTGTTATCCTCTGGGTTAATTAAGTCGACTGCTCCATAAGGGTATATATTATAAATGAGGAAAGGTCCAGACCATCTAGACTTAAGTTTTCCTGGAAACAGTTTCAATCTAGAGTTAAACAGGAGAACATGCTGACCTTCTTTCAAGTCTCTGTGTTGAATTCTCTTATTATGCCAACCTTTTGTTTTCTCTTTATAGAGCTTGGCATTCTCATAAGACATTTGCCTATGTTCATCCATTTCACAGAGTTGTAACTTCTTTTTCTTGCCAGCAGCATCTGAAGACATATTTAATTCTTTAATTGCCCAATATGCTTTATGTTCAAGTTCTAAAGAAAGATGCCAATCCTTGCCATAGACTAGATTATATGGGGACATACCAATGGGTGTTTTGAAAGTAGTTTTGTATGCCCATAAAGCATCATATAGCTTAAATGCCCAGTCTTTTCCGTTTGGTTTGACAACTTTTTTCCAAAATGCTTTTTATTTCTCTGTTGGAAAGTTCTGCTAAACCATTTGTCTGTGGGTGATACATTGTGGCAATTTTATGGTTAACATTATATTTTTCAAGAACTCCACTTAACAAATTGTTTACTAAGTGGGTACCCTCATCACTTATTAGTTCTCTGGGAGTATCAAACCATGTAAAAATTTGCTTTTGGAGAAACTTAACCACAATTTTGGCATCATTTGAAACACATGCCACAACTTCCACCCATTTTGAGACATAATCCACATCAACCAGTATGTATTGACATTTATTTAATGGGGGAAAAGGACCCATGAAGTCTATTCCCCACACATCAAATAACTCAACTTCCAGTATCCCATTTAGTGGCATTTCATTCCTTTTGGAAATGAAACCACTTCTTTGGCACTCATTGCATCTTTGTGCAAAATTATGGGCATCCTTGAAAAGAGTTGGTCAATAGAAACCAAATTGTAAGACCATGGTAGTAGTTTTTTCCTCTCCAAAATTTCGTCCATAAGGTGATTGGTGACAATGATACAAAACTTTTTCTACCTCAGATTCTGGAATGCACCTTCTTAAAAGTTGATCTGTACCGAGCTTAAATAGAAAAGGGTCATCCTAGAGATAAGATTTGGCATCATGAAAAAATTTCTTCAGCATGTGGCTTGTGTATTCAGAAGGTTTTATGCCACAAGCCAAGAAATTTTCTACATCAGCAAACCATGGTGTCTTTTGTTGTTGCACCATCAGGATTCTTTCATCAGGGAAGGTCTCAATAATGTCTCCTTCTCATATCTCAGGTTTCTCTAACCTAGATAAATGGTCTGCCACTTGATTATCTACATCTTTTCTATCAAGTATTTCCACATCAAACTCTTGCAACAATAAAACCCATCTTATGTTGAACATAGGTTTAGCATCCTTTTTTGAGATCAAGAACTTGATGGTAGCATGGTCGATACATACAATCACTTTTGTTCCCATCGAGTATGATCCAAATCTCTCAAAGGCAAAAACCACAACTAATAATTCTTTTTCAGTTGTTGTGTAGTTAATTTGTGCTTCATTCAAAATTTTACTTGCATAATAAGTTGAATGAAACACCTTTTCGTTTCTTTGACCTAAAACAGCACCCACCGCCCAATCACTTGCATCACACATAATATCAAAAAGTTTGTTCCAATTAGGAGCAACAACCACTGGTGCAGTGACTAAAACTTTTTTCAACGTTTTGAATGTATATTTGCATTCGTCATCAAAATCAAATTTTTGGTCATGCTGCAAAAGTAAACATAAGGGTTTTGAGATTTTTGAAAAGTCTTTGATGAACCTTCTGTAAAACCCAGCATGACCAAGAAAGCTTCTTATTCCTTTGACAGTGTTTGGTTCCGATTGTTTTTCAATAACTTCAAGTTTAGCTTTATCTACCTTAACTCCTCTTTTAGAAATTAAGTGCCCCAAAACAATCCCTTCTTTAACCATAAAATGACATTTTTCCCAGTTGAAGACTAAATTAGTTTCTTCACACCTTTCAATACTTCTTTTTAAATTATCTAGACAATTATCAAAAGATGAACCATGCACAGAAAAATCATCCATAAAGATCTCAATAGATATTTCAAGCATGTCTGAAAATATGGACATCATGCATATTTGAAAAGTTGTAGGAGCATTACACATACCAAATGGCATTCTTCTAAAGGCAAAAGTGCCATAAGGATAAGTGAAGGTGGTCTTTTCTTGGTCCTCGGGTGAGATGGATATTTGATTATATCCTGAATATCCATCCAAGAAACAGTAGTACTCTTTTCCGGCTAATCTGTCCAACATTTGATCAATGAAAGGTAGTGGAAAATGGTTCTTTTGGATAGCCTTGTTTAGCCTACGGTAGTCCATGCATATTCTCCATCTGGATACAACTCTAGTTGGGATAAGTTCATTTTTATCATTGGTGATGACTGTGAACCCTCCCTTCTTGGGAACACACTGGACTAGACTAACCCAAGAACTACTGGCTATTGGGAAGATAATTCCTACATCGAACCATTTCAAAATTTCTTTTTTTACTACCTTTTTCATGACAAAGTTCAACCTTCTTTGAAGTTCTGTGGATGTGAAAATTTTATCCTCTAAGACGATCTTGGGTTGACAAATAGAAGGACTAATCTCCTTAAGGTTAGCAATGGTCCATCCTAAGGCCTTTGTGGGCAATTTCTACATGTCCACTAGTATCTTCTCTTGATGCAAGTCTAGGGTAGATGAGATAATGACAGGCAATTTGTCTTCTTCTCCTAGAAAAAGCATATTTCAGATGGGATGGGAATTGTTTTAACTCCAAGTCAGGTGGTGATACAATGGATGGGGCGAAGTCTTTCTATTCATTATTTTTTAGCAGCTCAAATGCTGCAGCATCTACTGGGACAATATTATATCCTATTGCCTCTACTTCCTCAACAGTCTCTTCTTCTAATTCCTCATCACTCTCTTCTTTCAACTTAAGGCTTTCCTGGATTCCTTTCTCATGGCACATTTCCTCTATTTCAGCTATGCTTGAGCACTTCTCCAAGTAATCAGGGTACTTTAAGGAGTTAAAAACATTAAATGTCACTTTTTGGTCTTGAAATCTCATAGTCAGCTATCCTTTCTAGACATCTATCAAAGTTCTTCCGGTGGCTAGAAATGGTCTCCCTGAAATAATTGGAATGTCCTTATCAGCCTCAAAATCTAGTATAATAAAATCTGGAGGAAATATGAACTTATCAACTTGCACTAAAACATCCTCAATCGTTCCCTTAGGGTATGCAATGGATTTGTTTGCCAATTGAAGTGTAACAGTAGTAGGTCTAGCCTTTTCTATGCCTAAGGTATTGAAAACCGATAAAGGCATGAGGTTGATACTTGCACCTAAGTCACATAAGGCATTCCATATTTCCTTCCCACATATTGAACAAGGAATGGTAAAACTTCCTGGATCTTTGAGCTTAGGGGGTAAGCTATTGGTCAATAGTGCACTACATCCTTCGGTAAGAGCTATAGTTTCATATTCAATCAACTTCTTCTTCTTACTTAGGATGTTCTTCAGAAATTTAGCATAACTAGGCATTTGCTCGATTGCCTCAACAAGTGGTATGTTGATGTGCAATTCTTTGAACACATCCAAGAATTTTTTTTAAATGCAATTCCTTTTTATGATTCTTCAACTATTGGGGGTAAGACACATAAGGAGGAACTGGTTTTTATCACATTCTTGCTTGAATGTGTTGAGCAAGATGGGTCTTGAATGCCTTGGGTCTTTGGGGTACACTTTGAGGGTTCAGATGGAGTCTCAACATCAAGCTTAGGGGTCTCTAAAAACTCAGTCCCTTCTGAAAACAGTAAGGGATAGTTTGATCTTGGGGGAACAAAAGTGGTGGTCTCAGATGTTTCTTTCTCTAAAGGTTGGACTGGTTTTTCTTTAGCAAGGACCATTGTTGTAGCATCAGTTTTTGACAAAATTGGTGCACTATCTTTTTGCACTTTTTCTGTCAACTCCTTCCCACTCCTAAGGGTTACTACCTTCACATGTTCCTTTCTTAGATCTCTAAGGACTTCTGTGTTACTAGGCAAGGTACCAAGGGCTCGATTCTTTTGATTGAGTGCAAGTTGACTGACTTGAGTTTCCAGATTCCTAATAGCAGCACTTTATTGATTAATGAGTGTTTGGGTTTGGTTTATGAACCCTTTCATCATAGTCTCCAAAGTGGATGATGATGCTGCCTGTGGAGGAGGCTTGTTCTGAAAAGATGGTTAAGCATTTTGAAAACGTTGTTGGTAATTTTGAGAGTTAGAGCTGTTTGCATGATGTTGTGGTTGGAAATTAGAAGTTCCCTGTTGTTTATAATAGGTGAATTCAAACTGGAACTGTTCCAAGAAAAGTTCGGGTGTTGTCTCCAACTGGCATTATATGTGTTGGAATAGGGATTAGATATGTTATGAACATAATTTAAAAATTCAGAATTAATAGTACAATGTTCATACGAGTGTTCCCTCCACAACAAACACAATGCATTGAGAGGACTGTTGGAACAGGTCTAGTAGCAGCTTGCTGCACTCCTTGACCAAAAGTTATATTTTTAAGCATGTTAGTCATGGAAGTGAGTTGTGCTGTTAATGCAGTGTATACATCTACATCATGAATTCCAATAATCTTCTTTTGTGGTTGAGCACGTGTATCAACCCAATGTCCATTGTTTGTCGAAATCTTTTCTAGGACTTCATATCCATCATTATAGGTACTAGCTGTAAAGACCCCGCATGCAGCCGCATCGAGCATCTGTTTAGCCATGGGACTTAACCTATTGTAGAATGTCTCGAGTTGAATATAGTACGGAATGCCATGGTGTGGGCATTTCCTTAACAACTTTTTAAACCTTTCCCATGCATCAGGAACAACTTCATCGTTCATTTGTTTAAAAAGACAGATTTCACTTCTGGACTTAGCCTTTCTTGTGGGTGGAAAATATTTTTGCAAAAAAATTTCAACCATTTACTCTATGATGGCACAAAACCCGGTGGTAATGAATTAAACCATGCCTTTGCCCGATCCCGTAAAAAAAATGGGAATAAAGTAAGTCTTAAAGCATCGTTAGACACTCCTGGGTTCAAGAAAACATCAGTGATTTCCATGAAAGACTTTAGATTTAGATGTGAGTGAGGGTCTTCCGATGGTAATCTGGCAAATTGTCCATTTGTTTGCAACATGTGAAACATGATCGGTTTTAGTTCGAAATGGAGAACTGTCATTTGTGGCCTAACTATCCCGGAGTTTAATTGCACAAAATCAGGGATATCATAGTCCATGATTCTTCCATTTTTAGAATTTGCTAGATTAATTATGTTTGGAGTTTGCACTCTTGGTTGATCATTATTTTCCAATTTTGTGTCATCATTACCCAAATTATTATCATTGTGTGGGTGTTCTTGTGGAAAGTTCTGAAATGGTGGTATTGGTGCAAAAACAAGCGGTTAATTTTCCAAATGCGGCACATCTGGAATGATTAGGGGAGGTAACGTCATGTTGGGAGGGAGTAGAGCAAAAAATGCTCTGTGTGCCCTCCTTCTTTGGCAGAATGTTTTCTCAATATCGGGATCAAATTCGAGAAACTCGCCGCGGTGTATCCATGGCATAAACCACTTTCAAGATTATTCAAACAATATTTGAAAAATCAAATCTTTTACTTTACTCAAAAGAAAACTTTTCGCTTGCCAATCCCCGGCAACACCACCAAAAACTTGGTAGGTTATATCACACACCTTTAGACAAATGAAGTTAACCAAAAAGCAAGTATACAATATGGCCCAATATCGTTTTTCCATTTAATAAGGTGGTAAAATACCGGTTTATTGTCCACAGAGATTGTAGCAAAAGTCTAATAAGAGGCCAATGAAACAGATGATTTCAGATGATGAAATTGAAGACTTCAATTTGATTCTGAGTTAACAATGATAATATAACATAATATAAATGGTAGCATAGGTGTAAGACTTATGGTGAAATGCAAACACAAATTCCAACAGACAATGCTTTAGGAATGCTACAGCAAACAGTAAACCAAAACTAGTTCCATCGTCTATTTTGAAGATATTTCTCTCAAACTTCGACTTTACACTATATTATAGCTTTCAACCCATATCTCTATGTGATATCCGGACCAGGGATAGTGACAAAATGGTGTCTTCAAAATATATGGATAAACAACTTTCATTGTTAAAAATCACTCTTCCGAGCCGATTCCCATATCATTCAAGTTGGCGTGTATTCTAAATAGTTCATCTCTGAATCTATCGCACTTTGACACTTTTAAAGAGTGACCAACCTATCGGGAGTTAGGTTTGAAAGACATAAATGACAAGTCTCCTTGTCTTTAACTTTTTCAAGTTTACCTCTCATATCATTCAAGCTGACGTGCATTCAATGGCTTATCTCTAAGACCATGGCACTTTAACACTTTCAAAGTGATCAAATCGTCAAGAAGTGTAGTTGGTTTTTATAAAACTTGAATGAAATAGTGGAACATTGTTATTACGAAACTACATCCACTTTCATTTGGTTTAACATTTCACCCTTTATCATACACCCAAGCTAACTAAATTAGCTACTCATTACAAAAAATAAATGACATGAAATATAAAGAACAGAAAGTAAAGACATAAATATAAATGATGGAAAGTAAATGACCGAATATAAAGAGCAGAAATTAAATGACAAGAAAAATAAATAAAGTAAGAACAATGTTGCAACAACTCATAATAAAGAACAATATTTAAAGAAAATTCAAGAACTAACTTGCATATGCATAAGAGTTACAGATCTAAATGTTAAGTATCTGTGAGATGGTTCAAAGGAAACAACCAAGGTCCGTATTTATACAAAAAACCTAAAGGACTAGACAAAAGTATTGGAAACCAACATGTTTCAAAAAGGAGAGACAAAGTTAAAAAGATAAACAAAAGCAACCACCAAAAACCCCTTCTCCAGCTGTGATGGTTATTATCCAAAAGATCAGCAGAATTTTGTCTTCACTCCAATACGGCAGCTGAATCATTAAGCACTTCTTGAAAAGGGTCGCTTTATAACAGATCAATGTTGCTGGAATGCTGCAGCATTGGGCACCGTGTTTCCAAGTTAAGATTACATCTACTCAAATGTTGTCAAGGTAAGTTAATCACCCAATTTAGCTCCAAGTATAACAAACAAAAAATAAAGTAATAAAAATGACTCAAGATTGGGATAAAAGAAAATAAACTACATAATAAGTAAAGAAATAGGTACTCTATGCATTGAATAATCAATTCTTATCACACCCCTTCCCCTGATGAGGCATCTTTTCGGGAGTAGAGTGTCGAAGGATGGAAGAAGGGCCACCTTTTTGGTAGAAACCTCCCAGGATCCCTCTTATGCTATGATTGTTGGATGTAGAAGTAGCATTGGGAGATCATACGATTCAACAACGGAGGTATGTTGGTTATATTGTTACTATTTTCTCATTACTTTCATTGTGAACAAATTACTGATTTTGTTGAATATTGAGTATTTACAGGTAGCAAAGTTGAGGGAGAAGTTGGCAAGGGTAGAGGAGGAGGCATAGTTTCAGAAGAAACGCCATCAGGCTAAGATGGAGGACAAACAAAAGAGTAAGGTAGATTTAGTCGAACAGGTCGGCTTATAGGATCATTTTGTTGCGTTTATACAGTAGTCAGGATATGTTTTCCCCCCTCCCCCACCTCCTGGTAGTTAGATTAGCGATGGATAAAAGTCCCTCGCTAATCCATCGCTGAAAGTTTCCGTCGCTGATCCGTCGCTGAAGGTTTCCCTCACTAATATGTCGTTGAAAGTATTCATCGCTAATCCATCGTTAAAAATTCCATCGCTAATCCATCGTTGGAAGTTTCCATTGTTGATCTGTCATTGAAAGTTTCTCTCACTAATCTTTTGCTGAAAGTTTCCCTCTCTGATCCATCGCTGATAGCATTACCTACAGCTTTTAATTGATGGAAGATTAGCGATGGATGAGACCTTTAGCGACGGATTTGCGAGGGTTTTTCCGTTGCTGATACTCTTCATTTTGTAGTGATTGTTTCTTTGATCACCAAGAAATTGATTCCCCTCCTAGTGATATATAGTAACCAGTTTAAGATCACATCTTCAGAGAACGACCACCACAACTTGCATCACAATAGGCTTAGAGCAATAAATCTCCATGAGATGGGAGGAAAATCCCTTGTTCAGCAGTAGACTTGAGAAAGCATAAAATGTGCATGGCTGCGTCCATGTGAGTGCATCGAGGTGTTGTGATGAATTGGCTTAAAAGATCCACAACAAGCTGAATGTCTGGTCACGTGAAAGTTAAGTAAAGTAGACGTCCAATTAACCTTCGTTACTGAAATGCATCAACATATGGACTGGAATCTTCAGTTCTAAGGCACAAGTTTTTCTCCTTAGGAAAATCACTAGGTCGACTTCCTTGTAAACCACTTTCTTGTAATATGTCAAGCATATACTTTCATTGACTTAACACAATTCTTTCTTGGGACCTTGCAACTTTAATGTCCTAGAAATATTTG